ATAAAAAAGAAAACAAGCAAAATATTAAAATGCTGAAATCAGCAAATGTGGGTTTGTATCAGCTTGTGCCAGCTTAAAACGTTTCAAAAGTGCCTTCACAAATAGGATCTAATAGACATGGAGAATTAATTACGTTGTCTCCTCAGGACTTGTCTGCATAAAATTAACATTCTCCAAGGAGGGTTACACTTGGCAGTTTACTGCATAGATTTCAGCCTGAAGGGCTCTTAACGTATTTTGAATATAACCCTACCCTACTCTTAAGAAGAAATTAAAGCAGGACACCAATAGAAGACCTTGGTGCATGATCACAAAATACTTTTAAATTACCAAGATTTCCATAATCCCTGATATAAGCTTTGTTGTTGTTAGGTGCCACTGGGTCAATTTTCAATTCATAGTGACCCATGTGACAGAGTCGAATTGCCCCGTAGGGTTTTCTAGGCTGTAATCTTTATGGAAGTAGATCACCAGGAGCCACTGGATGTGTTTGAACTACCAACCTACAGGTTAGCAGCTGAGCGCTTAACCATTATGCAACCAGGTCTCCTGGGTATAACCTCCAAGACTCTGGAAATGATGAAGCAAAACATACATTTATTTAAAATAGACAGCTAAGAGTATCTTTAGGACGTTAAATTATCTAGATAAGAACAGGTAACTTGTTTTATTTTTTTTACAGCTTTAATATAATGCTAGTTTTCGACCTCAGCGATATATACCATATCACAATTTCCAAGCATTTTTACTTATTATGGCACTATATTCATTTAGACAATGTTTCAAAATGCATGTCAAATTCTTGACTAAGGCAGCTGACATCATCACTTCTAACTGCAAATATGTTTACATAAATGTCCAAGAAACAGTACAGCAAAACAGAGCATTTAAAAGTGAATCTATCTCTAGGAAGGATTAACCTGTAGTGCTCTCATACAGTTCGTGGTACATAGCTCAGGGGCAAAAGTACAAATACTTGGATACTGTACCTTAATACACCTATTTGAATCAAACAACAACGCTTTACTAGTCAGTCCTGGATGTGTACACTGAAAGCTGAACAATCCAGAGCCACAAAGGTCTTAGATGATAAAGGAATCTAGAGGGCGCCCAGAATGCAGAGGTGCACCTGGAACTAAGCTGAATCTCACCACCATCTGCATAAGGTAAAAAGACTCCCTACTTAAACAAGAGCTCAGGAATTACCAAATAACTGTAGAAGATTCCTGCCAACCCACTGACGGAGAGGCCGAAGCTGTGGTAGGCAGAATTCTAAGTCAGCCCCCAAGATTCCTGTCCCCTGGTGTACATGCCCCATACAGTTCCCTTCCCTAGAGTGTGAGTGGACTTGTGAATATGAGGGGATATCACTCCCATGATTATGTTACATTATATGGCAGAAGGATGTTGCAAATGTAATTAAAGTCCCTAATCAACTGATTTTGAGTTAATAAAAAAAGAGATTGCCGTATTTTTATGGGAATAATGTCCACCTTCTACCTTTGCCAGCTGTGTCCTCTCCCCGCAAGGTATTTCTGTAAGTGCACTATGCCGATTTTTTGTTACAGCAACATGTAAAAAAAAAATTGGCATAGCGGCGCTTACGAACATACCTTGTGGGGGAGGGGCATGGTTGTCAAGCAAACGGAGAAGGTGTGTTGTCTGAGTAAAAATACGGCATCCTGGGTGGACCTGACCTAATCAGATGAGCCCTGAAAAGAGGTTAGAGAGATGCAAAGTGAAAGAGATCCTCCTGCTGGCTTTGTCTTAATTTCTCCTTCATTCTGGAAGAATAGTTTTGCTGAATATAGAATTCTCGGTTGACAGTTTTTTGTGGCTCAGCATTTTAAATATGTTATCCCACTGCCATCTGGACTCTGTAATTTCTAATGAGAAACCAACTGTTAATTTTATTTAGGATCCTTGGACATGACAAGCCTCCTCTCTACTGCTGCGTTCAGGACGCTGCCTTTGGCTTCTTGGCAGTTTGGTATCTTGTGTCTCGGTGTGAAATCTCTGAATTTATCTTACTTGGAGTTTACTGAGTGTGTAGACTGATGTTTTTCCTCAAATTTAAGAAGTTTTCAGACATTATTTCTTCAAATTCTCCTGCTGGCTTTGAAGAAGCAAACTGCTATGTTGTAGAGAGGACCATGTGGCAGGAGACAGCTAGCAGCCTCCAGGAGCTGGGAACGACCCCTGGTTGGGAGCCAGAGAGACAGCGGGCACCTCAGTCTTACAACTGGGAGGAAGTGAATTCTGCCACCATCAATGAGCTGGAGGAGGACTCTAAGTCTCCTTTGAGACTACAGCCCCAGATGGCACCTGGATTTTATCCTGGTGAGACCCTGAGCAGAGGACCCAGTGAATCTGCCAGATGCCTGACCCAGTTGTGCTGTTTCAAGCTGCTAAGTTTGTGGAAATTTGTCATTTAGTAAAAAAAAAATCAATACAAAAGTTCAAAAGCCAGGAAATTCAAGACCATAGTTTTGAAAATGAGGGCTTTCAAAATACCATCTGAAATTACATCATTTCTCTTTGCTATGTGTCATTCATTAATTCATTCAAAATATTTATTAAATACCTACTATGTTCCTACAGGAGCCCTGGTGGCGCAGTGGTTAAGAGCTCGGCTGCTCACCAAAAGGTCAGCAGTTCAAATCCACCAGCCGCTCCTTGGAAACCCTATGGGGCAGTTCTACCCTGTCCTATAAGGCTGCTATGAGTCAGAATCAACTCAACGGCAATGCATTTGTTTTTTTGGGGATGGAAGTTCCCACTGGAGCCCTGACGGCACGGTGGTTAAGAGCTCAGCTACTAACCAAAAGGTTGGCAGTTCGAATCCACCAGCCGCTTGCTGGAAACCCTATGAAGCAGTTCTGATCTGTCTTGTGGGGTTGCTTTGAGTCAGAATCGCCTTAACGGCAACAGGTTTGGTTTTTCTGGTATGCTGCTACAGGAGGCCTGGTGGTGCAGTGGTTAAGGAGCTGGCTGCTCACCAAAAGGTCAGCAGTTCGAATCCACCAGCCACTGCTTGGAAACGCTCTGGGGCAGTTCTGCCCTGTCCTATAGGGTCACGATGAGTCGGAATAGACTTGATGGCACCGAGCTGTGTTCCTACAGGCGTTGTTAGGTTCTTGGCATACAGGTGTGACCAAATCAGTCTCCCACTGCTCAACTTCTCAAAACCCTCTGCTTCACTGTTTCCAGACAAACCTCATCACATTTCCTTAACAGGGACTACTTCCCTTCCCCTAAACTTGCATTGTCTGTGCACATTCCACCCACATTTTAAGACTGAAGATGAAAGTTATCGTCTCTAGAAAGTTTTCCATGATCGATGCAGCCTACATGAGCTGACGACATGCAGAAAACCAGGCAGATGGACAGTCCGTTTGGTGGAAATCCATACAGGGTAGCAGGGCCCCAAGCACCAGGCTGGGCTTCGATGCCGTCTGTGACTCTAGGCAGTCGATAGGGAGGTGGGCAAGGTACTGGACAGTGAGGCCTAGTCTTGAAAATACTGGGGATCTAGGGTAGGCAGCAGAAGAATTGGTGGCGACCAGCTCAAGACTACATCAGCAGCCTGTGTGCCCTGAGGTTCAATCCCAGGGCAACAGTCTAAAATCCTGGGCCTCAAAATCAGCCAGGACTGAGAACTCCTGATTTAAGACTTCTCAAGTTCCTCTGAAAATTAGCATTACTGTCCCAGAGCCTGGGTGTGAGCTGGATCTGAAGATGAGGAGTTACGCAGCGCTCACAAGGAGGAAGAGTGAGAAGTAGGGGCAGCAGTGGAAGGAGCATCAAACCAATGAAGACCAAGTCTCGTGAAGCGACTTCAGATAATCCCAAATACTTGAAAATAAACAGTTAAGATTGTTTAAATAGTAAATGAACCATATGATTTCTTCTAGATAATTCTTTGGTTCTCCTCTTTGAATGCCATCAGGGAGGGCAAAGTGTCTATCTGCATTTGGAAATGCACCAATTTTGCTAATTATTGCTTGGGATTTTCCCCGTCTGGACCCCAAGGCCAAAGGGATAGCTGTGGACAGAGTACAGTACAAAATAAAAAATGCAAGGTTCACGATTATACACAAATAAACCAGAATCAACTACTTTTAGCCTGCAAGCAGAACCGAGAAATCCGGCTTTCAGAAGTACTAAAGGCTAGTTTTTACACAAAGTAAAAGAACAACGGCCATGTATGAAACCCAAGCTTAGAAACAATGTACAACTGACGGGAAGTGAATGGGAGTAATAGCAACAACACAATAATAGCTTCTACTTGCTGCGTGCTTATGAGATGTCAGAAACTAAGTAAACACTTCATATTAACCCACATAACAGTCCTATCAGGGAGATTACTGTCTAACAATACAAATAATAGCAGGCTGTGCTCTCTTTACAGTGTTATTCTGTCCATGTGCCATTTCAGGAGAAAGTAGCAACAACAACAAAACACCACCTGATATTAGGATGTCTCCAAAAAACAGGATTCCACCTTCCCTCCCCCACACGCCAAATCAAAGAGCAAGTTCCAAGTGTGGTACTCAATCGGAAGTTTTTCTGCTCTTTATAAAGTCAAGAATCCATTGTATCTCGTGACAATTTCCCACCACATTTTACTATCAAGTACCCTAAAGCTAGGTAGATAGCCTGAGGCCTGCGTGCAATTCCCCCTTCCCAGTTCATGCTGCAAACCTGATATAATGAAGACAAATGTCCCTGTAATATAATAATGGCTTCACATCATAAAATACGTAAAACAGATGCTTAGAGACAATGTATTATGCAAGATTTCAGACTTCCACTTTCATACTCAAAGACTGCAGCCAGGCAGAGCTGGAGAGAGAAGGTAAGGGGCAGTAAGTCTGGGTCTTCACAGAAAAGGAGGAAGAGAGATCTGTGTGCGGCTGGTTTGCAAGTTACTCAATCAGTTCTTCTAGCATATGTGCCTAAGAAACTGTGTCATTACACTTTAGACCTCTTGGACATACCTTTCTCACGTCTGAACTCTTTGGTTCTGTTGTCCAGGTGATAATTCTAGAAACAGCAAGCCTTGTCTCACTAGAGTTTATAAAATCTGTTGGATCCATTTGCCTGGCCAGAGACTCAATGTACTTTAGGATCGCAACTTTGACCTGAAAAATCCAATAGTTATAAACATTAAGTACACTTGATGAAATCTTTTAATACATCTACTCCTCATTTATCGACTATCTTGTTAGCCAACATTTCACATTTATGACAGTAGTAAAAAATCCATTATCCGACTATTTTGTGCAATAACGACGTATGTCTGGCAGTAAAGAACGCTGAGGTGCGAGGTGAGAGTAACACTGGCTGGGATGGTTACGTGTCAACTTGGTTGGGCCATAATTCTCAGTGGTTTGGCAGTTACATAATGATGGAATTTGGCAGTTAGATAATAATTTAGCCATCCTCCATTTTGTGATCTGATGTGGTCATCCTCCATTTTCGAGTATTGCTGATTTTTGCATAACAACCAGGTCTTTGGAACCTAACCACGTCAATCAATAAAGAGTGGGTGTAAAATTCTTAACGGGGTCAGAGAAAAGCAAACGCTTTTGAGGGAGATCTTCCTTTCTCCCGGATTTGTGTTCCCATGTGGAAGAGCATCATCCGTGGGGAGAAAAACATGAAGGGACGGATGAGTAAGTCTGGGTACAGAACTGGCACGCAGCTCGGTCCCCTTCTCTTTTGGATCTCAAGAATGTCCACAAAGGGTGCTCTCATCCTGCCACAAGAGACTTCCAGTGCAGGATCCCACGTGGGAAGGCCCGGTTTTCCAGCTCTGCCCTGACTGGGAGGGCAAGTTCAGCTCTCCAGTTAGTTGTTCACACATTCTAGGCCAGGCCCTGCAAGCCGGCATCTAACAGCAACGAAGCTGACTCCTGCCCTAACTTCTCCATAGACTTTTCAACTGGTTTTGACCTCAGGAGAAAAGTGCTATTATTTATTGGGCTCATCCTTGAAACCTCAACAGAAGTTAATATCTAAGAACACGTGATGAACATGACCTAATCCGAATTAACACACATCCTCTCTTCAAATTTAATCTTGGATTATAGTATGATTTTCCAACACGGAACAATTTTCATGTCTTAAAAATGTTACCATTAAAGAAACATTCCAGTTGGATACCTGTCTCAACACGTGAGACTGCCTCACTTCTCTAGATTAAACAGTGATTGTGAAAAAGACTGACGATCCCAAACGTCAGTGAGGATACGGAACGGGAGCTCGCATACAGCGCTGGTGGGAACAGAATACGATACAACTACCTTGGCCATTTCTAGGAAACTTAGACATATACCCATCCTACGAACCAGCAACTCTACTCTAGGTATTTAACTGCGAGAAATGGGAACATGTCCACAAAGACTTGTGCAAGAATGCTCACAGTAGCTTTATTCATATTAGCCAGATAGTTATGTATAATGTAAGTACATTTGAAGCAAATCTGAGCTCTAAAAGTTTAATTGCAATGATAAAGAGTTACCAACCTTGAGATTTGGAGTCTGAGTTTGATCCACAATAAATCTCATCAAAATGTTAAATTGTTGATCAAATGGAAAGGAATCCCTAGGTATGAAAAAATAAAGTGCTTGTTTTTAAAGAAAGATTTATTACCCAGAAGAATATAAAACTACTTAAGAAACAAAAACATCCTGTTTGGGATGTTTGTAATGTCTGCAAAAGCAAACTTGCTCACATTTTCAATCTAGTATTTTTAACTTATTAAAAATATTAAAGTAATACACGTTTACATAGAAAATCTAGAAAAAGGTAAATGTTGTTTAAATGTACACTCCCAAAACAGATACTAAATTTGCTCTGAGTATGCTATTTTAAAAACTAAGAGCAAGCAATAAAGTAAGGAAGGTGTTCCTACCCGCCCTTCTAAGGGTCTGCTCACCTTCTCTCAGGGACCCTTCTGAATAACGCCTACATGAAAACACCTCCAATTCTCACAGCTTATTCTTACATACCAGCTAGCTGTTCACAGCTGACTGTTTGAGCCGTACTGTCCTCCTTGGTCCTGGCTTCGTCACTGCTTAGGATCCTGTTTTGCACAGTCACTACCCCAAGAGTGCCTGCGAGATACTCTACAAAGGAAAATTCCCCATCCAGCTACAGAGCACACACAGAGGCCTGGGGACCTAGGAGCTCCTCCTCTTGCTCCATTTCTTGCCTGTTACTGATCCCATTTCTTGGAGCCATTTCACATCTCTGATGCAATCAAGTAACCCCAAGAAGCTCTTGTACTGAAAGTTTACGGTTCTCTCTCTTCAAAGGCTGCTGCAATGACTAGCTGTTGTAGATTACACTGTGCTCCTCCCCCTCAAAAAAAGTATGTATTGGAATCCCACTCCTATGTGGCTATAATTCTGTTTGGAAATAGGGTTTTCGTTGTTATGTTAACTAGACTATCCCTGAGTGGGTGGGTTCTAAATCTATCACTTCTGAGCTATAACAAGAGCAGACGATACGCACACACAGGGGAAGACAGACACCACGTGAGGTTCGGCGATAAGCCAAGGAACCAAGAAATGCTTGGGACTACCTACAAGGAAGCTCATGATTTGGAGTTTCAGCCTCCAGGGCTGTGAGAAAGTAAATTTCTGTTCCTTAAAGCCACCCACTTGTGGTATTTACGTTACAACAGCTCTAGCTAACTAAGACACCAGTATTAGTTTAAACCTGCATAATGGAGTCATGTAGACAATGAGGATATGACTTCCATACTAAGAGAAAAGGTAATACAATAAAAACATTTGTTACAATGGAGGCTAAGTGATTACACTGCCTTCTTTGATCTCCCTTAGAGACTTTTCTCAATCTACAGAATAAAAAGTATAGTAAACTTTATTTTTATGCAGGTTCAAATCTATAAAATGAAGCAATCGATACCTACCTCACAGACTGATCTGAAGATTAAATAAAATAATTTAAAAGAAAAATATAAAGTGCACGGCACATACTAGGAGCCAGTATACTAGGTACCTAGGCAAATACTAGGTATCATTAAAATGACTAGAAAACAGTAACCTTGACCAAATAGCATGCTGTTTGCACCCAGCAAGCTCTGAGGACCATTTCTGGAAGCAAAGTATATATTACTATTCATGGTCAGGTCAGTCCTCGGTTTCTCTACTGATGCAGTTAGGACATAAGTGACTCACACTGACCATAAATTAAAGAGACAAGGTCGACAAACCACACACATGGTAACTTCCTTTCTTCTGCATCAAGAGGTGGATGACGAATACGTGTAACTGGTGTGTTTAACTGAGAAAAGTGCCCTGTTGTTGGGCACAAGCCAAAGTAAAAGAAACCGAGGACAGTTGACAATCGGGTCTCTAACCTGAGGAACAGCCCTGCATTATCACTGAAGCCCCTCCTCCCCTTTAAAATCACTGACTGACTCTAGATAAGAGTAAGGAGCTGTACATCTCAGCTGCTGAGAAAAAGAAGGGAATAATGAAATGCCTGAGAAGTCAGATCAAATTTACAACTGATTGCCTTCATCACCCAAGTTTAGGAATACAGTCTTAATATTCCCACCACCTCTAAAACCTGAAATGGATATCACTCATAAATTCACCTACATTTAACCTGTAGGCCAAATCTGGCTCACACGTGAAAATTCTCAACTGTGTTGGCTGAATCCACACTGCTGACCTTTCTCGAAAAGCCTGGCACCAGTGGGCCCCATCCCAACATGGCCACAACCAACGGAAGCTCTGCAACCCGCCACGTGACCTCCCCCACCTGCTTCTCTCACTTCCGTCAGCTGTACCAGCCCAGCCCCTGGAGTCGGGCCCAGGCTAAACCTTTATAAACCCATTGGTATTTTGTGTAGAGCAGCATACCCTAGTTCCACTGAGCTTCTTCATCCAAAGGAGTGATGAGTTTGAAAGCTTTATCATAAACGTAGTATACTGCTTTAAGTTTATGGAAAATCTATTTGGATAACGGAACTCTATAATGCTGCAAATTATACAGCTCTATGGAGCCCTGGTGGCGCAGTGGTTGAGAGCTACAGCTGCTAACCAAAAGGTCGGCAGTTCAAATCCACCAGCCACTCCTTGGAAACCCTATGCGGCAGTTCTACTCTGTCCTATAGGGTCACTAGGAGTCGGAATTGACTCGACGGCAATGGGTACAGGGTCAGGGACCAAAAGAAAACAGCTGGCATCATAGTGTAGAAAAACAAATATATGCTTTGAAGCCTGAGTTCAAATTCAGACTCTTGATTACTATGTGTTTAGGCAAATGACAATCTCTGTGCCTCAGTTTCTTCATCTGTAAAATGCAGAAAACAAAAGGAACTTGCGCACAGACTTGTAAAGACTGATTTAATGCTTGTAAAATGCTGAGTGTCTGGCACGTAAAATTACTCCATAAACAGAAGCTGTTATTACCAACATTATTATTCAAGTATACATGAATGAAAGGAAAAGTTAAATTTCTAACAACGACCCTGGATTTTTCTTGGCTGCTAAAAGGTGGCGGCATGACTGACTGGAGGAACTCTGGGTGGAAACCAAGTATCTGGGTTCTAGCCTGTACGCTGCCACTCATGGACTCTGAGAGAATCAGGGAACCTCTCTGGGTCTTGGCTTGCTCATCTGTACACTAGTGGGGTTGAGCCACAGGTTCTAAGGTTTCTTCCAGTTAGGATGTTTGAAGTCATGTCTAATCCCAGTGGTGGGAAAACTGGGGACAAGACATTTCTTCAAATCTTTCTGTAAGATTTAACCCTGAAGAAATTATTCCGACTTTTTAAGAGGAAAATAAATAGTAAGATTAAAAGGCATGGAAAATACAAGAGTAGCTATCACATCATCTATTATGGCAAGTTGCCGTGTTAAATCACAATCATACTATGGACCAGAACTATGTCCTGAACACTGCACCTTATGTCTCGCTCCTGAAATGGTTTCTCATGTCTGGTCAGTCCCTACTGTTGTGAAATGAATATAGGAAAATACAGGAACAAAAGAAAAAAAGAATGACTCTAGGTCTCTCAGAAAATTATTTACAGGGCAGTAACTAAAACAATCAGGGCCTAAAAATGGGCTCATGGTTCTAACTGCCTGGGCTACAGAGGTAATCCCACCACCCTACCACCAAGATAGCCCACTGTAACCCCTGGAAGTGTGACTATGATATCACGACCCTGAATACGATGAGACATCATGTCCATGAATATGTTAGTGACATGGCAAACAGATGGCTTTGTAGATGTAATGCTTGGCTGCTAACCTAAAGGTTGGTGGTTCAAACCCACCCAGCAGCACTGCAGAAGCAAGCCATGGTGATCTGCTTCCGTAACAATTACAACCAAAAAAATCCTATGAAGCAGTTCTACTCTGTAACACATAGGGTCACCATGAGTCAAAATTAGGTTTTTTTAAATCCTGGATTTAGCTGGGTGTACATAATCCAATCATATGAGCCCTTTTAAAGCAGAGAGTTTTCTCTGGCTAGTGGCAGAAGAAGAAATCAGAGAGATTTTGTCAAAGAGTCAGATGGAATGCAGGTGGCCTCTAGGACCAGAAAGTAGTCCCCAGCTGACAGCCTGCACAGAAATGAGGGCCTTAGACCCATGTCCGCAAAGAGCTGATTCTGCCAACAGCCTGAATGAGCCTGGAACCAAATTTTGCCCAGAGCCTCCCCAGGCAGCCAACACCTCAATTTCAGCCTTGTGAAATCCTGAGGACAAAAGCCGGTCAAGCCCACCTGGACTTGTGACCCGGAGACCTCTGAGCTAATAATAAATAGGTGTCGTTTTAAGCTGTGAAATGTGTAACAGCAATACATACTGGTATGACTTCAATTTGTAGTAAATGGGTCTTAGAAAAATCATTGCCCCGACAGTTTTCAGAGTGATGTGGAGGCAGTTATTTGTTCCTTTAAAACCCAACGGATGTGACACATTTCCCTTCATCTTCCACCAGATCACAACCAAGGCTTTACTGCCAAGTAACTTGAGAGAACTTAATGTCTAATACTTGTATGCTGAGGACCTAAATTGCACAAACAATAGGTGGTGGGTTTCCAACAATGACAGCACAGTCAGCATTTCATCCTTCTCTGAGCCTTGGCAGCTTGTCATTTCTCACAGCAGCCAGAAGAGTCACAATTGCTGTGAATGTGTAATTAATCTCTGAGCCAGTACACTGTCAATTCAGACTGTTCCTAGACCACTGGGAACCCTGCATCGTACACAGATATTTTACAGCGTATTTCTAATGTAACTTTTAAGAAGTTGAAATATTACAAAAACTGAGGTCTTCAGAATGATGGAAACAAATATTTACAAAAGATTTTTCAGAAAAGAGGGTTAACTTTTAAAGTTTTACATTTGTTTTCACATTTGTCTTAGGCACTGACAAAAATAATGCCAACTTAAGGAAGATGTGGGTATTTTACCTCCTCGATGGGTGGAACATGTTAACAAATGTCAACAAGAGAACATGGGACTTGGGTAAGAGAGGAGACACCAGAGGAGCAACACAGGCCACGGGTACTGAAAGAGAACGGTCAAAGACCAGCGAGAGTCTCGTACCGTTAAAATGGTCTCCTGCAACACCTACCTCGTTATATCTAGAGCCTTCTGAACTTTCGCTTGCACAGATCCAAGTAAATCTGCACCCATCTTCTTAAGTAATTGTGTGAGAAGAACAAAAAGCCAGTCTTGCAAGTCATCTTTATGAATTATTATAAAATCCACCAGAGTCTCCAGAAACATACTGAAAACCTAGAAAAACGACATAAATGATAGCTACACGTTTTGTGTATTTAATTCATGATTTCCACCCAAGTCTATAAAAGATTAAAAAGGCCCACTGGCATTGCCCAGACTGGTGTCACTCTCCTAACACCGTTAGCAACCGTTCATGTTACCAAGGTATATGTATTACAGGAAACGAAGAAAAAAGGATTGGAACTTACTCTCTGTTGTGAATTCCACCGCAAAGCAGGCCATGCAACAAAACAAATTTAATGTTAGTCCACAGTGAATTAATATCATTTCATGCAGTTTCTTAAAAGGCCTGAAAAATCTACAAACCGATCAAATACTATCCTCTCCCTTAATCTGCTGTTGTTGTTGTGTGTTGACGAGTCAATTCTGACTCAGCGCGACCCAACATGCCAGGGCAGAGATGCCCCACAGGGTTTCACAGGCTGTACTCTTGTAAGGAAGCAGATTGCCCAGTCTTTGCTCTGGTGGAGTGGCCCGTGGGTTCGAACCACCGACCTTTTGGTTAGCAACTGAGCCTTTAAAATTCAGTACAGAGAAGAATTAACTTTGCTGAAAAGTAGAAGTTTAATCCTGGAGGCCTGCCTTTTTTTCTCTTTCTTCCTTAAAAAAATCTTTTAAATGTCATAACGGTATACTATTTTTTTTCATTAGCTAGCATTCCACAAATACTACTATAAGATAAGCTGGAAAACTATTCACTGTTGCATGTATAGGTTTCCATTTTAGGCAGCTATTTTTGATATATGCCAATTTCAGATATTATAAAGTAATAAAAGATGATAGTTTGAATAAAAGTGCTGACAGTTCACTTAGTCTTGCGCAGCTGGGTAATCCCAGCACTCTCTAAGTGAAACAGTCTCCAGTGACACATCCCTGAACCACTTTAGAGAGCCAAGCAGCACTGTGTTCCCCACCAGGTGAGTGAGACCTACTCTACGGGGACAACCCACCAATCACATACCTACTCAGTTCTAGCACAGCAACTATTACACCAGGGGCCTCTCAGAGACAATGTAGAAGAAAGGAAATGAGCCCCAGCTGTGGGACTGCTGGGTGTGCTCACAGGCAGCTGGCAAATATTAACTAAACTAAGACCTCCAAACTCACTGTACAAGAGCCTTCTGATGGAAACAAATTTCCTTCTTTATCCTCACATTCTGGTTCTGAATCAGCAATCTAGAGGTGACAGGTAACAGAAATGTCATCAATGTCCAAAACCATCTAATATCCCTTAGGTTGCAAATCTTGTTAATCTTAGTATGCTTATACTGTGATTCTTACTACTTTTAAGACTAACTTAGAGAAAAGCCTTGATAAACATATCTTGGGATATCTATGTAGTCTTTAAACTCAACCTTTCTTGGATTTTATTATCATTGTTAATGTTAACCTTGCTGTGAGGGTCAGTTAATGGATTTTAACACATACTTGGAGACCACTATTGCGTGAGAGAACTATTGGCGGGTGGGGGGCGGGGGACGGGACAGGAAAACCCCTGTAATCTTTTCGATAAACTCTCATAAGCATCTCAAAAGGCAGGGGCCATATCTTGTTTCCTGTATTTCTATACCAGAGCAGGTACTCAGTAAATGGGGAATGTCAGGAGGGATGGATGGATGGATGGATGGATGGATGGATGGATGGATGTGAGACACTCCAAGGACAATTCCTATGAGGAAAGACGGACAAGGAAGGAAGGGAGATCACAGTAACTGGCTGGACTCTCTAGCTATCACCAGTTTCTTTCTCCCGGCATGACCTGGAAGATATCTTTTTTTACTAGGAAAACTGTAGCATCTAACAGCCTCTAATGGCCTCCTCCCAAACAATGGTATACAGTTAAAATCTAGACTCCAAGTAAACTTTTGTAAAGGGTTCCTCTCTCAGCATCACCCCTGAAAAGGGCCTTGTCCCACACCCAGAGGTGTTTTCCTCTCAGCAGGGACTCCCCTGCCACAAAGGCAGTCCTCAGGCTCAGCACTCCCTCAGCCCCGGGAGGAACGGGCAGCAGCTACATGACTACCTTTCTTAGATGCAGCAAGCTCTTGGGGACAGCAAAATTCTATTTGGATAAATAAGTCAACTTGCTTCTCCAATAAATCCATTAAATAAATGCTTCCATTTTTCTATCCTGTCCTATAGCAGTTACCAAAAAAAAAAAAAAAACCCTGTATACTTATTTTCTTCATGACTGCAACTTAAGAAGTACTATATTAAAATACAGTCTTACATACTAGTACCTAGCACACTGGCTAATAAGGGTGCTCAAAAATATCTGCTGAGTGAATTAAAGACTACATCTGATTCTTACTTGAAGCCCACTTTAACTTGAAGTTTTATGGATGTTTGAATTTTTCAAGAATTGCATTTTTAAAAGATGGAACATGCAATATTGTTGACATTGGTGTTAAACTCGTAAGGTCTGAACTGCGCCATGGGGAATGAACTCTCACTCTAGGGGAGGATACACCAGAGCTCGCACACACATGCAGACAGGAATGTGAGACATTCCCAGACTCACCTTGCTATGGGGGTCAGCAAACATCCGGGTGAAGATCTCACACAACCTCTTCAGTTCTACTCGACTAGAGGAAATAAATGAATTTAAGTTCAATAAACTAGCACCGTAATTCGCTGTAGCTTTGCTCTTTAAAATGCTCTGGTTTTAGTCAACCACACAAGCTTTAAGTAATTTATATTTATGTAACTTTTTTCACAAATGAATTATTTTATTTAATTCATGACAACATTAAACAGGAACATGAACCCGTGAAAGTTGTGTTCCCATTTTAAGATGAGGGAACTGAGGCTCAGAGAATGATTTACCCAAGCTCACGCATCTGAAGTGAGTGGCAAAGCCACGAGCCAAATCACATTCATTTCATTCCGAGTCTCTTTTCCACCTTCCACAGTTGAAAGGCAATGAAACGAACTAGAAAAAAGCATGTGTTTCAGGTTCAGACAGACCTGGATTTTAATCTCGGTTCTGTTATAGACAAACTACTCTGATATCTTTAAGCCAGAGTTTCCTCATTGGTCAAATAGGATAAAAGCTCCTTCACACGGCTGCTGGGACGATTAACGAAGCCAGCACATCTCACTTACAAAACAAACGCTCATTTCAGGTTAGCGCCCTTTGCCTCTCCTTAACTGGATTATTTGAGCCCCACTTTTACTTTAGGGCTTGATGTAACTAAGTGTCATCTCTTCCCCAAATTACTCCTAAGTAATGTCCCCTCATGCAGACAAGGCAGTTGGTTCAATGATCCTTCAATGATAGTACAATATAATCCAGATTAGGCCAATGGTAATCAACAGATTCCTAGAGATTACTCAATGGTGAGAAAGTGGGCCAGCAGGAGTGAACCGATTGTTCAAAAACAATTACACATCTCGTTTTTAGACAGATCTCCAGATTACCACAGATTATCTACATTTCAAGAAGGCAAATGACAAAGCCTATCACGACATCTTCATGAACAGAATGGAATAATAAGGGGCGAGAATGACTACAGTAGGATGTAGTCAGATTAGGGTCTCCGGGTGGCACAAACAGTTTGCAGGGTTGGCGGTTCGAACTACCTAGCGGCACCATGTCAGAAAAGTCTGGCCATCTACCTTTGTAAAGTTCACAGTCCAGAAAATCCTATGGAGCTCAGTTCTATTCTCCAACACATGGAGTAGTCATGAGTCGGAAACAAACCAACAGCAATGGGTAGTCCAACGGACTGAAAAGCCACACTCCGACCATCCTGATTCATAAGTCAAAGCTCAGTTAGGTTCACAGTATCTATTCCACCTATGACAGTCAGCGTATCCAGTCTCCAGATAATCTTTTTTATCTTGAAAGAATACACTGTTTTTCATGTATTCTCAACTGCCTACATTTTTGTATTTTAAAATCTCTGTAACTGACATTCAAAATCAATGACATTTTAGTACTATCATGGTTTAAGGAGTATTTCTTCTTAGAGGGATATAAATGGTGAGTCGACCAACGGTGCCTTAGACTTGATGAAATGTGGTCTAAACACATTTTCAATGTGTAATAAACGCTCATTTTAGAAAATGTATGAACTATAGAAACAAAAAAAAGCAAAAATAATTCTACAGATAGTATTGTTATTTTTTTATTATCGCTTTACTATGGACGTTTCTAAGCTACACATGTATATATGTATATTTAAAACGTCTGTACATTACTTTTTTCATTTAACATTATTTAAATATAATCCTACAGCAGTAAAATTTTTTTCATTGTGATTATGAGTGGGATTGTAGAGATAGAATACCTGTCTCTACCGATTGACTGTTTAACCGTGGCTAAGTTATTTAACCTCTGGGTGCCTCAGTTTCCTCATCTGTAAAATCAAGATAATAATGGCAACTACTTTGTAAGACTGTTTTAAGGATTAGATAAGAAAATATTGATGAAATACATAGAAAAATACTTAACTGTCATTTTACTATTATATATTGAGGTTATTTCCAAATATTCACAATTACAAAAAACGCTCTAATAAGCATCTTTATACACAAACATTAATGATTTTTAATAAACAATGAGCTGGTCTGCTTTCGGAATTGCACACTATAACCATCTCCGAGGGCTAGTCTGTAAGATTAAGATAGTTGAGTCATTTGTGCTTTCCAAAATCAAGTCACAAAACCAATTGTTTCAATGGACACAAATGCATAGGAGCTAGAGTTTCAGGCTCAATCTAAACTACTTTTGGTAAAGGAATGTCAATAGTAGTATTTTCTACAGTTTTAGTTTCTAATCATCATAGTTGTTATGATTAACAGCTGACTTGGCCACTGTTATGGACTGAATTGCGTCCCCCAAAAATATGTGTTGTAAATCCTAATCTCTATACCTGTGGTTGTAATCTCATTTGGGAATGGATTATCTTTGTTATGTTAATGAGGCAGGATAATTGAAGGGCGTGTCTTAATCTCTTTTGGGATATAAAGGTGGTTAAGCAAGCCAAAGAAGCAGATATGGGGGAAGACTGATGCCAAGCCACGTGGAGAAGTCTAAGGAATAAGTAAGGAAATAGAAGCTCAAAGAGCCAAGGACCTTCCCCCAGGGCTGACAGAGAGAGAAAGCCTTCCCCTAGAGCCAGCAACCTGAATTCGACTTCTAGCCTCCTAAACTGTGAGAGAGTAAATTTCCGTTTGCTGAAGCCACCCACTTGTGGTATTTCTGTTACAGCAGCACTAGATAACTAAGACAGACAGAATTTGGTACCGAGAAGTCGGGGTGCTGTTCTAAGAAATACCTACAATGTAGAAGTGGTTTTGGAATTGGGTAAAAGGCGGAGGCTAGAAGAGTTTTAAACTGCCTAATAACAAGAGCATAGATTGCCTTGAAGAGACTGTTGGTAGAATTACAGATGTCAAAGGCAATTCTGGTGAGGGCTCAGGAGGACAGCTATAGAGAAAGTCTCTACCATCTTAGAGAATACATATGGCACGAACAACAGAATGTTGCTAGAAATATGGACACTAAATGTGCTTCTGGTGAGGCTTTAAAATAAAACAATGAACAAGTGATTGGACAATGGAGGAATGATGCTTTTCATGTAGTCACAAAGAACTTGTCTGAATTATGTTCAAACGTTTGGTGGAAGGTAGGACTTGTACGTGATGAACCTGGATATTTGGCTGAGGAGATTTCTAGGCAAAATCTTAAAGGGGCTGCGTGGTTTCTCCTTGCCGCTTATAGTAAAATGCGAGAGGAAAGAGATGGACTTAAAAATGAACTGTGAAAATGAAAACAAAGAGATTTGGAAAACTCTGTTGTACAAACTAAGGACGTGTGTCCTAGAATGTTCACCAAAGATGTGGTTCCACAGTCTTTTGCTTAAGAGATTAAGCCTGTGATTGATGATCTCTAACCAACTACCACAGCAGAAAACCCATCAGCTTAGACTGAAGGGGACAGAGAAAGAATGAAAGAACACTGTCTGCCTCTTGGAATTCTACAGGCAGGAACAGGCTAAAGGAGCTACATATGCTGTCCTCCAAGAAAAGAACAGGACGTTCCCTGGAGCAGCCTGGAGATCAGTAGAACTGTTGGAAGGAGTATGGGAAGCAAGGCCTTCTTGGTTTCAAAGGGTGGGGCCATAGTCTCCTGGATCTCAAAGGGTGGGGCCACAGTCTCCCAGGTTTCAAAGAGCTGGATCTTCACCAACTTGGTTCCACAGTGTGGGGCTGCTGTTAAGGTGTGCCAGGGGGATGAAGTCACAGCCCAAAGCTGAGGGGGCAGGGCTGCACACCCAAGAGGCGGAAGAATGGCTAGGGTTGCCACTCAGATGGACTAAGAGAATAGGGTTGCCTAGAGCTGAGGGAGCCAAGTTGCCATCCCAGATGGCCTGGAAGGCAGAGCTGAAGCCCAAGGGCTGAGGGGCCTCCACTCTGATTCCAGAGGGTGTGGCCAAGGCCCAGAGTCTGGGGAGGGGTGGGATCATTGACCAGATAGTCTCAGAGAACAGAGGATTATTTTTAAGTCTTGACAGCTAATGTAACTTGTTCTGCTGGGTTTTGGACTTGCTTGGTGCCCTTTATCCCTTCTTTCCCTCCAATTTCTCTCGTTTGTAATGGAAATGTCTACTTTGGGCCTGGTTCCACCACTGTATTTTGGAATCAGATAACTTGTATTCTAGATTTCACAGGTTTACAGATGAAGAAGAATTTCACCCCAGGATGAAATACGTCTAAAAGTCACACCCATATTTGAATTAGATAATTCAGAAGATGAGATTATTGGACTTGAGTTGATTTAAGACTTCTGAGATGGTGTGATAGGGTGAATGTATTTTACATGTGGCAAGGATATAAACTTTGGGGGCCAAAGGGTGGAATGTTATGGATTGAACTGTGTCCCTCCAAAATATGTGTTGTAAATCCTAACCTCTATGCTGTGGTTATAATCCCATTTGGGAATGTGTTGTCTTTGTTATGTTAATGAGGATGAGTGTAGGGTGTATCTTGAGTCTATCTTTTTTGAGATATAAAAGATTAAACAAGCAAGCAGAGCAGAAACCGGGGAAGAGAGATGCCAGGCCACATGCAGACTGCCCAGGAGCAGAAGCTCAGAAGACAAGGACCTTCCTCCAGAGCTCACAGAGAAAGCCTTCCCCTCAAGCCGGTGCCCTGAATTCGAACTTCTAGCCTCCTCAACTGCAAGAAAATAAATTTCTGTTTGTTAAATCCATACACTTGTGGTATTTCTGTTATAGCAGCACTAGATAAGTAAGACAACCACATAACAGATTAATTGACTGCTGTTAAGAAACCATGTGCACGGAGAAAATAACATGCTCTCCACACTGGCACCCAAACGATGCCTGGAAATCTGCACAGGATCCACAGGCCTACATTCCACTAGGCTACTAACAATCCCTGCTGACTCTGTAAAGGTCATCCTAATAGCAAAACCAAGGGGCTTGGTTTTCTTCTGCAATCATTTTCTCCAGGACCCTGAAGTGTAATAAGTAGTACCAACCTGCAGAGTTGTTTTATTTTTTTACCCAAATTGCAAACTATACCAAAATTTCTCAAATGCAACACCTACTGGACAAAGGGGAGTGTCATGGTTTGAATTATGTCCCCCAAAAATGTGTATATCAGTTTGGCTGGGCCATGATTCCTGGTACTGTGTGATTTTCCTATATGTTGTAAATCCTGCCTCTACGATGGTAATGAGGGAGGATGGGTGGCAGTTGTGTTAGTAAGGCAGGACTGGATCTACAAGACTGGATTGTGTCCTGAGGCAATGTCTTGAGATATAAAAGAGAGAAGTGAGCAGTGAGACAGGGGGACCTCATACCATCAAGAAAGCAGTGCCGGGAGCAGAGCACGTCCTTTGGACCTAGGGTCCCTGCGCTGAGAAGCTCCTAGTCCAGGGAAACACTGAAGAGAAGAAGGCCGACAGAGAAAAAGCCTTCCCCTGGAGCTGGTGCCCTGAATTTGGACTTTTAGCCTACTGCGACTGTGAGGAAATAACCTTCTCTTCATTAAAACCATCCACTTGTGGTATTTCTGTTATAGCAGCACTGGATGACTAAGACAGGGAGCTAAAGGGAACCAAATGTTTCATAAAACCTAATAAATTTTAAACTATCTGCCAGGTATTTCAGAGCCTCTGGGAGGCCAGGACTGTCTTCATCACTTCAGTACTGTCAGCGTCTGCACAGACGAGCGATGCAGCTTACGTGCCTGATGAGTATACTATGGGCTGCAGCCCTGGCTCACAGCCTTTGCCCCATCCTCACCTCAATGTCCTCTGGCTCTTCAGTAAGTTCTGCAGGCCGAGAAGCCCTTCCTTCCGCTCTGACCAGTTTGAACTTGCACAGTGGTTGAGCACCTCAGCCACATCCTCAGTCTGCCGCAGGTAATGAGGAATGCCACCGTTCCTGGAGCCGTACGAGCGCTCAGAGCAGACGCTCGAAGCATCGCTGTTGGCATCGTCGTCAGAGTACATTCCATAGGGCTCGTATCTCCTCCTCACAGGCTTCTTCTGCCAGATCCAGTGGGGACGGGGGTGAGAGAAATGGAAAGGCGGGAACAGGTCCACAAAAGTCAGACCGAAACACAAAACCAAACCAAACCAACAACAACGTAAGTTCAAGTGTAAAAAGGTTCACACACAGGAACAACATACACTTCTCCTGTGCTTATGACTTAGGGAAATGCAAAAAGAAAAGTAGTCTTCCAGTAGGGGAAGTAAGTAGTAAGCACAGCAATCTTTAGCAGAGAGGAAAGAGTATGGTCTCTAGTGTGCATGGACTTTACAGTAAGAGAAAAAACAACCAAAAAAAACCAAACACGTTGCCCTCGAGTCAATTCTGACTCATAGCGACCTTAAAGGACAGAGTAGAACTGCCCCACAGGGTTTCCAGAGAGCGGCTGGTGGGTTTAAACTGCTGACCTTTTGGTTAGCAGCCGAGCTCTTAACCACTGCACCACCAGGGCTCCTACAGATTAGGAGGCTTATAACACAAGTCTGTCTTACTCTACATTAAGACCCACCTGTGGTAGAGCCTCCGAATCTTTCTGCGTCAGTTTCTGTGTCTTTAAGACAACAATAATCAAACCTCTCTCACAGGTTTGTCATGAGGATTAAATAGAAGAATATATTAAATAACCCAGCTCAGCACCTGACACACTGCAGGTATGTGTACTCACCAACCCCCCAATCAAAGGCAATATATTTTGAGCATAGTTTACGGGTCAACTTGTTTATCTGATTATTCATGCTTCTTTAAGAAAGTCTGAAATTTAAATGTCAGTGGCAGAAATATCCTATGTAAAAGAATTCTCAAATTATCTGAGCCACTTTCATTAAGAACTTAAAAGTTTTTCAACACAAACAGGCTTCTTATAAAATAGACTACACTAACTGCTTCATTCATTTCTCTTACCCTGGATAGAAAAGTGTGAGTTAACCTGTAAGTAATATTATAGCAGCTATATAAGATTGGTAAAATTGATAAATACAGTTTCTCTAAAACCATAACAAACAGTTATTGGCTTAAGCCGTATGGACGTAATCCTCTAATAACACGGCTTACGCACACATCTCGACTCGCTCAGAACAGGTCTACCTCGTGCTTACTGTCCCAGGACAATTATTAGCAGCACCCTCTCACTCCCTAAAGTCTCCTGTTTGGATGATACGGCTGTCCTACTTACACATAAACCGGTTCCTAAAATAAGAAAAATGTCAAATAAATTAATTCATGAAACGTAACCATGTAAGAGGAGGTACAGACAGAGTTAACAAATAATATGAAACGCTAACAGGAGGAGGAGAGAGCTTGACATTCAAAACAAACACGAAAACGTTCATGAAAGGTGACTGATTCCATCGGTAACAAAAGCATCACTAGACTCAATACAATCTTAATTCAAGATTTCTTTACTACCATTTTTGGTTGCTTTCACTAGCTCCTAAAGGGAATACACTTGCAACAGAAAAAAATAAAGTTGTAAAACAAAAGTTAAAGCACTGGTACCTTGCTCCTGGAGTCTCCTAACAGCTGTAGGCAGGAAAATATTGAAGGATGGGGAAAAAGCATAGAGAATTATGTCAGAAGCATATGTAGGGTTTGTTCTTGCAACAAAAGTGAACAGCAAAACATATTTTAGCAAACCAAAAATACAGGTTAGCAGGCATTTCATATCAAGCAAATAATAACAGAGAATGCTTTCAAGATGGCATCTCCTACCATCTCTTATAGGACCTTTCCAATACTTGCTATAATTCTTTGCCAAAACTCTCCCCATACCAGTGAGGCACATCTCTATGAGGTCACCATTAATTCTAATACGTATTCCTACGGTACATTGTCTGCCCTGAAGCTTCTACTCTGTGAGGGGAGAATTCTGTACCATTCCTGCACTTTCTCTTGTCCCGAAGCAGATCACTCCCAGGGACCAAGCAGCCTGGACAAAAAGCAGTAAAGGCAGCTATTAAGTCCAGGAGCTGATTTACAGCATGAGCGTAATGGGAGCTAGAGTTCAGAGAAAAAGCTCAAGTAAAGTTAAGCCAAAGCTCAAACTCTCAAGTCCCATTCTCCCGCTTAGAACTTTGCAGACAGTCCCTTATGTAGCTCTTTAAAGAACTAAGAAACTCCCCTGCCTTAACTGGAAGCCCCATCATTTCCCACCCCTTCAACCTCACTTCCTAGCATCTCTGAGTAAATAAGAAACACATTCCAAATGTTTCAACAGCTTCACAGAATTCTGTTCCAGCTCTTGGCTCTAAGTTAAATCCAACTCCAGTACCTGCCAGGAAAAACCCTTCTATGTAGAAGATTGATGAATAGAGCTGGCCAGGGAGTCCTTGCCTACCGGGAAACCCTTCTAAGAGGGCAAACACTTGCTCCCGGATGCTTGTCAAAGGAATGTGACTGAGGGAAGAGAGGGAAGGATGCAAGTCAGAGTCACCGCAGCCACGGACTATAAAATGCTCATCAGATGAAACATGGCCAGATTAAAAACTTGCAGGGTCAGAAAGAAGGATACAATATACATTCTTGCTTAAAAGAAAATAAATCTTAAAACAGTAAAAGCAAGGCCAGAGATCAGACGGTTCTAAATAATACCTATTTCAAATGCTAAACACATAAACGGGAATATGCAAGAGGCTGTGCTACTACTAGCTGAAATGCATCTTTAAAAGGGAATCTTTTAAAAAAAGACTACAAGCTGATTCTACCGAGAAACTTTCTGCTATAATCACAAACTAAAGGACCTCTGGTCCCTTGATACGGTTTTTCAGATATTACATTATAATGATGCAGAAACACACTCCTCCAGTGCTTTACATCCTCCAAGAATCGACCTTAAAATTGAGGAACATTTGCCTGAGAAGGACTTCAGGAGCCAGCCAAACCACCACCACAACAAAAAACACATGGGCCAACTAGTGAGGTAATGGAATAAATGCAGGATCTTCACACAGCAAATTCTACTACCTACTGTTAGAATAGTATGTTCACACTATGCCATCAAAGTCGGCTAAGAGTGAAAAGGAAGCAACAGAATGGAAAAAGGGAAATGCTGAAAAAACATGGATAAAAAGAAAAAAAAAAAAGCCCAATGACATCTGAAAAGCCCAGTGTCATCAAAACTTCCCTGGCACAGAAGAACGTAGATAGGAAATATGTGATGCTACTATTTTCTGGCAGGCCAACTTTCAGTCATGTGTAGAGGTACAAGTTTCCGAAGAAAGCAGTAGTAACAGAAATCTACCCAACATTTACACCATTTTAAGAGTGTCAAAGATGACTCAGTCAGCCAACTCGGGGCACTCTGCTGTTAGGACTGAGAACAACGCAGATGAGTAACTCAGGGACTCAGCGCATGGCCGTGCCGCTTACCAGAGCGTCAGCAACCGCAGCTTCCAGATCTGTACTTGTGCTCAACACTCTCAGGGCATTCACTGACCCAGGGACTCTTCCTGGCTGGCCAAGCCCAAACCGCTCTGCATGAAAAAAAGCACAAGAGGTGTCACTTTAATTCAAATTCTCTCAGTTCTTTGCGAGAGCGCATGCCTTTTTCCATCAACTGGACAGAGCTACTGAAAAGTCTCTAGCCAAATTTAACTACACTTGGTTTGTTTACCTGTGGCAGAGTTTAAAGTTGCTCACGTTTAAAATTATTGTGCCACAGAGCACCCTGTCCATTAAATGCGATAAGAATAGGTGATTACTGGAAAGACTGAAGGCACAGGAGAGAAAGCGGACTTTAGTTAAAGAAGGGAGCTGGGCCATGACTCAAGTCTTCATCTGTTTAGGCTTCCCTCTAGAGACAAGTGGCTTTGACGTTGGGTCAAGCTAATTAGAAAGCTTCATGGCTCGACAAATGAGTTCTAAATTAGTCAAAAGTTAAAATCTGAAACAAATATATTAAGCGGATTTGTGTGCAAGTTTTCATTAGTGCCACTACTGTTTAACTGATATGAAGCTCAATTAGTTTTAGAGGCTTGTCCATCATGCCTGGGTCCCCAACAATGGTTATTTAAAAATCAATTTTATTAAAATTCTTTAATAATCAGCACAAAAATCCAGCATCTTCACTGCAAACATTAACCATTCAGCTAGTATTCAGTATGAATTTTACCTGAATCCCTCACAGATTTATGAATGATAGTCTTTATTCCTGTAAACAAAATGAAAAGAATCCAAAGAATCTGATTCCAACTATTCTCAGTGTATTAATGATCATGCAGATGAAGACTAACTTTCTAGAGTTCCAGTGAGTCAGCAGACTAGCCTTCCTTAAGAAATGCTGCAGACTAAACTCTAACAGGAGGAAGTCGGCGTTAAGTTCCACCGTAAAAGTGTGTCACATCATCTACAGGTGAGAGGTTTCTATCTAACGTTCTAATGTATAAAAACCTTTGGAAGAAAAATGTTGAAATAAAAAAATATTTTCTCTGTATTAGCAGATAAGACACTGTTTGGACAAGAAAAAATATCTATGTTGGCCATATTCTAGCAATGGAGCATTTAGAATACAGGGGAAGTTAGTATCTGTTTTATATGAATTAATCTTTCCTATAAAATGATATATTTAAAATTTTAGATATATCACAGGACATCATCGATAAAACTGGTGAACTTTAAAACTGAAGTGTTACTTTAGCTCTTAAAATATATGTTTCAAAACGTTACACCTTCTAATACCACAGAAACAGAATAAAATTTAAACACTGCTAGTCAAAAGTTATACAGTCATGAATTTTTATAAAGAAATAAAATTGCATGTTTTTACTATCCCCTTTTTTAATGCACTTGCTGATCATATGGAATGTCATCCTACCCATTATGTTTAAAAGGAAATTTAACGTGCTATATAAACTAAAAAAAGGAAGACTACAAAAGCAATTATACATACACATTTATATACATACAAATATTTATCATTTGGAATATGAAACAATTGTAAATTTGAGGTTTATTCTGCATATACAGCATAGTTTTATAAATGATCTTTGTTCAAGTATTTTTTTTCCATTAAAAAAGGGTGGATAGTAGGGGATTTATGAGTAACAGAACAAAAGTAATTCAGTTATAAGCCATTTAAAAATTACCCAGTATAAACTTAAATAAAACTGATTCTTCAAAAAAGAAAAAGAGAAGCAAAATAATAAGTAGATCTCATGCCAGCAATTCTTGCTCCAGGGAAATATTCATCTCTCAGACACAAAATCGAAACTGTAAGAACAATGCAATTACTCTGTGCTCCTTAAATGCATCCAGCTCTGCCGTACACGGTGACTGCAGATCATCTGATATATGTCATACATCACATGAATTTAAAATCTTAGGGGGGAACGTCTGTCGGGATCTAAGCAAAATTCTAAGCCTTTTTTTTTTTCCCACCGAAGTCTGTACTATGTTCTCACTGCTCTGATATTGCTCAAAAAGAGATAGAAACACGTAGCTGTGTCCTCAGTGTAGCCCAGGACATTCAGAGGAATGTATACATCAGAGTATACATAACTACACACAGAGCTGCCTTCGTTCAGAAGGACAGAGAAAATATCAGGCTCAGTGAATTGGTCTCAGCTGTCATCATCAACAGTCTACAAATTAATTATGCCTTATTCAACTCAGAAAACTGTAGTCATTAGGGACCGTTAGCATATCAAAACGATACCAGTTAAACCTGGCAAATCAATACATTATTTTACGCTTACTTTTCGCCCTTACGGCTGACCAGTGTATTTTCTGTACTGTCAGACAGAGCTGAGGCACAAGGTTTGGGGTCAGCAGGCTGCAAAGGATTGGGGCACCTTTGGCCTGACCTGATTACCTGAATCCTGATCTCATTTTTCCACAGAATGTTTTAGGATGATCAATTTATTTTTACATATATGAAATTCTATGTGTTACAATTTGGAATATCTGGTAACTAGACAGCACCTCAAAATACTCAGAAGTTGACACTGACAACTACCATTTAATCGTTCCTCCCCGGGAGGGAAGACTTCGGTGACGGACGGCTGTCGGATGATACCAGCACCCCACTTTCCCAGAGGGACCCTGCGTGAGACTTAGCTTTGGTTGCTGTTTTCCTGGCGGAAAGGGAAGGGAGGAGCGTTTCCTCGTTTTTATCTATTTATCTTTACGTAAATGCGAACGCTAGAGAAGTGATATTGTCAAACGGGCTATAAAGCATCTAGGGCCTATTAACAGAACTACATCAACATTCAAGAACGGAAAACACAAAAGCACACTGGGGAGAAAATAACATGAAGTGCACACATGCCAAGTGCTGGCCAACACTGATGGCGACAGAGGGTCAATGGTGTCACACCACAACAGGCGGGAAGCCAAGACATGCAGTTAGCGCTTGTTCACCTGACTGCCCCACAGAGTCAGCAGTGGAGAGCGCACTAGTGGACCTGGAATGACGTCGAGAGGCTGCAGGTAAAAGGAATGGCAACAGCCACAGGATTAACACAGACATACCCGAGACAGAAAATGCCACAGTCCAAAGGAGATACAGGGACTGCTACCACAAGGCCACGCTTTCTCATGAAAAGAAATGGTGCTGAACATGAACCCCCAGCAAGTGCCGATCCTCCAACTTCCTCGGTCGCCCGCTGGCTCTCACACAGCCATTAAACACACAGGCACGACAAGGCACCCTTTGAGTATGCATCAACCAGCTGGGACTCTGGGTTTCTACTCACGCCATGAAGCCTATGTCAGCCATTATGGAAATGTGCAACATGAAGAACATCAGGAGCCACCAAGCACCATCTACGTCCCAGGGTGGAGGGGCAGTCAGATGGATCATTAACTCACCTCACGAGATGCTTCATCAGTATGTGATACATATGCAACCATGCACCAAAAACAAAGGCGCAGAAGTTCATGATGTGTTTGGAACGGAAACCGAATAAAATCACAGGAAGGGAGCTTAACCACTGGAATTCCACTTTCTCCAGTCAGATTGCAACGGCCATTCAAAATTTTAGTTGTTTTGGAACCCACCTAACATGTACAAACGTATTAATTACTAACGTATGACTTGTTTAGTTGTTTAATTTAGTTACAACAAGTTTCAGGACCCTCCTTGGAGAGGCAGACACAGTACACTGGTTACGAGTACCAGTTCTGTAATCCAACCGTGTGCACATCCTGGCTGGACCACAGCTGGCTGTCGGACCCTGAGCACAGTACTAAACCTGCCTGTGTCTCTGCTTCCTCGACCGTAAAACGGTGTAAATAATGGCACTCACCTCTTGGGAGTTATTAAAAGGGTTAAATGAGATCATACCTACAGCACTGAAACAGCGCCTGGCACAGCGTGAACACCGGTAATAACAGCAGCTGGTGGTGGCCCTGCTGCTGCTGGTGGCAGTGACGGCTCAGGGTAAACTCCAACTCACGTTGTGACATCAGAGTAGTATTTTGTTAGCAAGTATTCATACTGCATACATTAATTTATCAACTTGAGGAAATACATGCTAAATTCTGTCCTCATGTAAAAGATACTACGTTCAGAAATAATTATGAAATACAGACTTTACTCAAAACGTTAATTTATCAACCATAGTTCCATGTAATATATGGCTTTTCTTTACCCCAGGAAAAAGCAAAAGATAATATGCTTCCAATCACTATTCTGCAAAGAATATGCTGATTCTACTACAGAAAATTCATAGGCCTATAAAGTACTACTGAGCAGTGCTGCTTCTCCCTCATATTACTACAAGTATCCTGTAACGCTCACACATTTAGTTGTTAAATACCCAAACCTCACTCTCTTCAATATAATTTTATTTATATAAGCTCAAATCGCTTTATAAAAGGTGCGTATCCATGGTATGTGTAGTATTAAATAGCAAAGGTGACATGGTCAAGAAGGACAAGTTTTTACCAGCTTGTAAAATGGAAAGAAAATTCCACCTTCCTCAAGATGCACAAAAATAAAAAGAAACCAGCAATCTCTAACAGATATAAAATTATCACTTTCTTTAAATGAGAAAGTTGGCAAAATAGTTTATAAGACTGAAGCACATTATTCCTTTAATGTATGACGACATCAGTGTCTTATCCTGGTAGTTTAAACTGAAAACAGCCTTCAAGCAATACCTGATCTGGAAGTTCTCCCTAAAGTCCTCCCTTGGTTCTGTTTCAACAGGATATTCTACAGTAAATTTGTCATGTAAAGAGTCCTTTGTTACACTCACAAGTAAACACCCAACAGTGGAACCCAGGGTGGATCTACTTAGGCCAAAGCCTAATGTACAGAAGAAAGAGCCCTAGAGCTCTTAATTTCACTTAATCAAGAACTTTTTGAATGCAGCCATGTAAATATATTCATACCATTAAAATGGTTCAAAACAATTTTATAATAAAGCTACATATATATAATATATAAAAAGAAACATTAACCGAAACATAATTACCTTCATTTTCTCTTCTTTTAAAGTGAAGGCTGGCTATATAAACTGATACAAAGGGG